GGCCTGTGAACCAAAGCATCACTGGTTTGATTCCCAGTCAGGGCACATGCCTGGGTCACGGGCCAGGTCCCCAGTATGGGGTGTGGGAGAGGCAACCACACACTGAGGTTTTACTCCCTCTCTTTCTCCTTCCCTTCCTCATCTCTCTAAAAATAAATAAAATAAAAAAGAAGCAAATGGAAATGATAGAATGGAAAATTGATAAATTTTAAATTATTCAAGCTAAATTCCTATAAGAAAAATTGCCTTTATCATATTAAAAGTTTTTGATACATATTCTAGTCTTAAAGAAAAAGGATGAATGTCACTTTTTTCAAAACTCTTAATCAATACCACCAGTATAATTTTTTTTAACTTTGCTAATAATATGAGCAGAGAAAGTAATTTCGTATTTCAGTATGCATTTCTCTGATTTTAGTGAAAAGAAACACTGTTTTCTTGGACATAATTTTTCTACACCTACAAATAGCCCTCTGACCTTGGGCAAGTTGCTACATTTCCCTTTACATTTCCCTCACGGAGCACAGCAAAGTTCCGTTATCTGCAGGATGAGAATGGTCATCTTGCCTGTTCCCAGGTTGTCCTGAGGCTTGAGGGAGGCATCGGGGTTTAGAACACTTGGCAAGGGCTAGCTGTCACTGCTACCGCTGTTACGAGTACTGCCACTGGGGTCGTTTCGGACTTCCACTTCTTTATTGAATTCCTTCCCGGAAGACACCAAGCTTATGAAAGAAAATCGTTAGGCAATTCTGTAGGAGAAGGTTTAAATCTCGTTTGACTATGGCTAATGCAGTAGTTCTCCACTGAAGGTGATTCCGTCCCCCAGGGGATATTGGGTGTCACTGGGTGTCACCACACGGTGGAGGGCAGTGCTTCTGGTGTCTAGTACATAGAGGGCACAGATAACGCTACATGTGCTACAATGCGCAGGACGCAAGAACATTCCGGCCCCAAATGTCAGTAGTTCTAGTCTTTCCATACCACCTCATTAGTTCATATAGTTCATTGCTTTTCATACTTCAGGACATCCTGTGTGCCTTTATCTTACAGATTTAAAAAAATGTAATCCCTATATTTCCAAATTCAAATTATGAGATTTTTCTAAGGGCTCTTAAAACCAAAAAGTAAATTTCTACTTACGTTTGTATTTAAGTCATTTATATACATGGATTGTCAGGGTGGCTGGTAGGGCATATATCCTGGCCCCTTCCACCCCAAACTCAGAGAAATGACTAGAAAAATTGTACTTGTCTCTATATCTGGATGTTTATTTCTCTACCTATCTCTGCTCCCTCTCCATCTCAGTCTGTATCCTTGTCTCTATCTCCGTCTATAGCTATATACCTGTATCTATATCTGTATCTCCACATCTTCTCTGTGTATCTCTCGGAAAAGAAGAAGGGTTATCACTATGGACCAGAAATTCTGTGTCTCATTGAAAGGCTGTGTCTGTCAGAAGAGGCTAAGTTATACTGTGGTAAAAAAACAACCCACAACTCTAAGTGATTTATTTGTTTATTTATTTGTTTAATCCTTACCTGAGGACATGCTTACTGATTTTAGAGAGAGAGAAAGGGAGGGAAACATCAATCAGTTGCCCTCTGTAGGTGCCCTGACCAGGGAATGAACCCACAATCTGGGCACATGCCCTTAACGGGAATCAAACCCGTGGCCTTTCCATTTATAGGATGATGTTCCAACCAACTGAGCCACAGCAGCCAGGTCATCTGAGCAGTTATTTCCCACTCATCCTGCATGTTCATTTTGGGCTGTCGGGAGGGCTAGTAACCCCGGGACCATCTCAAATGTTGCCATTGCCATGTAGAGGGGAAAAGAACTCCAGAGGGTTTTGATCAGCAGTTACATGATCCCTCCTGGAAGCGACAAGCACCAAACATCACTTCTATTCCCAGCTCATTGCTCAGAACGGTTTACATGGTCCTGCTTCCACCACGCAGCCAGGAGGTGCAGTGCCGTCAGGGGCCTGAAGAAGGGACAATTGGAAATAGTTGTCATACAGCTTTACTGACTCCCTCAGAGGCCCAGGTACAGGGGACCTGATGGAAGGAAAAAGCCACAGCTGGAAGCGAGTACAGCAAAGAACCATGGAAGGTGGGAGTTGCTCCTGGAGATGCAGGGAGCAGAAGGGACCCTGCGCAAAACACAGTAATTTATTAGAGTGCCGGGATAAAAATAGCCTGGGGGAATTAATATCCACTCACATCCCGGGGACAGAAGAACTAGAAGTGCTATATTTTAAATTTTAGATATTTTTCATGTTTAAAAATATTTAATGTGCTGTGGAAATTACATGAAGTCTTCTTTATAAAGTCCTGTGTTCAAAACCATGGTGCCTAGTACAGCGCCTGTTACAGATTATGTGCTCAGGAAATACCAAATCAAATGTTAGCTCTAACTTTACCATAGGAAAAAGCAAACATTGGTTTTTAAATTATCATCGTCATCACCACCATCATCATCATCCTATTATCCTGTTTCATGGTTAAGGTTGGCTTTGGAAACAAGTTAGTGTCCTGACCCCTTGTGAGGTCACTTTAAGGAAGTGTTCCTGCCCAGCAAGCTGCCAAAATCCAAATAAAAGGCCTGAGAATTTAGAGCCTGACTTCCTTGTGTTTTAGCAGAGTCCTCATTTTTCTTTGCAACTTCCTTGACCCACCTACTGTCTGCTCCTCTCACCCTCTTCACTTTGTAAAAAGATGTCCTTGGTCCTCCGGACCCAGCTTTCCTGTTGGTGGCTTCTGTCTGCACTGGGTCTCTGGAGATGCTGGGAGTGCGGAGTGGGCTCTGGAGCCAGATCTGCCTGGGTCAGACTCTGCCACATAGTGTAAGACTTTGGGGAAGCCTCATTTGCGACATTTGAATAATGCTGGTCCCCACATCCTAAGGCACCGCGGTGAGTCTTAAGTGAGGCGATGCTTCGAATGTTCTCCGAAGGGTGCCCAGCAGTGTGTCAGTGCCTGATCCACGGTCTGAGTGATCGCCCTTGCCGTCAGCACCACCCGCCTCCAGTCTCCACCCACATCCAGCCCCAGGACTTCTCCCAGGAAGAGTCTCCATGTCTCTGCCTCCCAGCTTTGCCAGCCGGGATGCTGGTTTCTTTGACATACGTTTGTTTTGTTTTAAGCCAATGCCCCAACACTCCAGAGTCCCAGGATACCATTTTTAGGGCTGGCTCGGTCTCGGGTTATTTCTAGCTTGTAACCCACATAGCTTCAGAAAGCATTTGCTAGCTCTGTCCCCTTTTGGTTTTCTTCTCTGTGAAACAGGAAACATACTTTTTTCTTCTAATTCCCAGGGATATGGAGGTTTTCTCTTCCTTGATTCTGTGTTTTATGCCATCTCACTAGCTTGCATATGTCCTTAAAGTCACCCTCAGTCCTTGTTGGGGAAAGATAAAGCTATAAATAAATACAGAAACACATAAATAAAAATAAAGAGTAGTTATGAAAGCAATGAAAGAAATTAAAAACATACATATACAAGATATTTTTAGCTGGCAGGTGTTATCAGAGGCAGATGTTGGAAAGTCCACCTTGTCATGACGTCTGTTGACCTTAGAAATGTTCGAATTGTAGACTTTGGATGGTATCTCCAGAAAACAGGATATAAGAAAAACGTGGAGGAGGGAAACTTGCTTTGATCCTTTAAAGATAGAAGTTCTGAAATAGTTAAGTAGCAAAGCTAAGAATATACTTTAAAAAAAGATTTTATTTACTTTTTTTCCACTTTTTAAAAATTTAATTATTGTTCAAGTACAGTTTTCTGTCTTTTACTCCCAGGCTAGCCCCCCCCCCCCCGCAGTGCTCCCCACCTCCCTCCCATTTCCAACCCCCTTAGTTGTTGTCCATGTGTCTGTCCTTTATACTAGTTCCTGTAAATCCTTCCCCTTTTTCCCCTGAAATTCCCTCCCCTCTCCCCCCTGGTCACTTTCCCCCTGTTCTCTATTTCAGTGTCTTTGTTTTTATTTTGCTTGCTCGTTTGTTTTATTGTTTAGCTTCCTGTTAAAGGTGAGATCATATGGTATTTGTCTTTCAACACCTAGCTTATTTCACTCAGCATAATGCTTTCCAGTTCCATCCATACTGTTGCAAAGGGTAGGAGCTCCTTCTTTCTTTCTGCAGCATAGAATTCCATTGTGTATATGAACCATAATTTTTTTGATCTGTTCATTTACTGATGGGCACCCAGGTTGCTTCCAGCTCTTGGTTATTGTAAATTGTGCTGCTATGAACATTGGGGTGCATAGGTTCTTTTGGATTGGTGTTTTAGGGTTCTTAGGGTATAATCCCAGCAGTGGAATTGCTGGGTCAAAAGGCAGGTCCATTTTTAGTTTTCTGAGAAAATTGTATACTGTTTTCCATAATGGTTGAACCAGTCTGCAATCCCACCAACAGTGAACTAGGGTCCCCTTTTCCCCACGCCCTCTCCAACATTTGTTGTTTGTTGCTTTGTTTATGATGGCCATATTCTTTTTAAAGAGAGGGGAAGGGAGGGAGAAAGAGAGGGAAACATTGATGTGACACAGAGACATAGATTGGTTGCCTCTCCTACATGCCCTGACCCAGGACCAAACCCGCAACCTAAGCATGTGCCCTGACTGAGAACTGAACCCATGACCTTTCACTTTGCTGGACACCCAGCCAACTGAGCCACACTAGTCAGGGCTAAGAATATACTTGCAACACATGTGGCCACAAGTTTTAAATGGAAGAACATAGAGATCACACTAAATCTCTCAACCTCAGGAAGTGGTCACTGCAAAGATCACACACAAAAATTATTACAAAGGGAGTGTAAGTCACCTATGAATAGTAATCACGATAGTGCGTTTGATCCCTGGTCAGGGTGTGGATGGGAGGCAACCAATTAATGTTTTTTCTCACATTTTTGTTTCTCCCTCCCTCTCCCCCTAAAATCAATAAACATATCCTCAGGTGAGGAGTTTTTAAAAAATGAGGGTAAGAAATTCTTTATTTCAGCTGCGTCCCGCAAGATGGAAGCAGCTGAAGGAGAAGAGTTACTGCCGTGGCGCCTCCCTGAGCTGTTCGATACCTGCCAGCGGCTTTTGGACGAGGTGGAAGTCGCGGTGGAACCCACCGGTTCCCTGGTTGTGCAAGAGGAGGTGTTGAAAGGACTACATCTCCTGAAGCAGTCGGCCCAGATGTTTCTGCAGCTTGACTTGTTCGGCCATAATGAAGATTTGGAAGAGATTGCTTCCTCTGACCTGAAGTACCTGATGGTACCAGCCCTTCAAGGAGCACTCGCTCTGAAACAAGTCAGCGCCGGCAGGCGGCTAGATGATTTGCAGTGGGCTCGAGAACACTTTTTAATCTACTTAACTCAGTGCCAACACTATCATGTGGCAGAGTTCAAGTTGCCTAAAACCAAGAACAACTCAGCTGAAAATAACACGGCTGGTTCTTCTGTGGCCCGTCCTAACCTTGTGGCTATGGCATCTCGAAGACAGGCTAAAACAGAGAGATACAAGCAGAAGAAGGAGACGGAGCATAGGTTGTCTGCCCTGGAAGCTGCCGTGGGGAGCGGGGAAGCAGACCACCAGCACGTTCGTGAGTATCACCTCCTGCACCCGTGGAGGTGGATCGGCATCCGCTTAGAAGAGATCGACAGCATTGACCAGGAGATGGAGATCCTGAGGGGAAAAGACGCCCCCGAACAGGCATCAGCTCCTGGCTCAACTCCTCAGTCCAGGCCTCCAATGAAACCCTTTATTCTCACTCAAAATGCCGCTCAAGGCAAAGTATTTGGAGCTGGTTATCCAAGTCTGGCAGCTGTGACAGTGAGTGACTAGTATGATTAGCATCGGAAGGTGGAGCTTTACCAGGTCAGGGAATGCCCAGGACAACCTCAGAGGTCAGGAGAGGAGCTCAGCAACAGGAAGAGCAAGGACAAAAGGAGGACGAGGATGATGAGGAAGCACTCCGGAGAGCTCGGGAGTGGGATGCCTGGAAGGATACCCATTCTAGGGGCTCTGGCAACCGACAGAACATGGGTTAGTCTTCCCACAACAAACGGGATGACGGGGCACACCTCTTCCCCTCGAAGAAAAGCTGTGCTGTCTTGCCAGTACCTGGGTTCGGCTTTAGCTCTGTACCGCGAAGGCAAAGATGCTTAATCTTGCCTTGCATTCAAATAAAGGGGCAAGCAGTTAAGTGTGTATCTGTGGCCTAGATGATGAGCCAGTGATTCTTGTTTTGGCATTGTCCCAATCATGTATTGCAGTTTCTTCAGTGGAAAGAAAAGGGTGCCGAGAAGTGGGCTGTGTACAGTCAACGGCTGTGTGAATTCTCCTTCAAAAATAAAGTCCTTTTTATTACAGGAGCCTGTGCAGGAAGAAAAAGGGAGAAAGTTTTAGTTTCAGATCATCCTATGTGGTTACTCTGGCCTCTGGGTTTGTAAGGCCGCCACAGGGGCCTCCCCTGAGCTCGTCAGGTTTAGTATGTGGTCCCCTTTCTCATCCACACCTTGTTTGATTGCCGATCCCTTGGAGAATCTGACTGAACGAATGAAAGCTTTCCTCCAAAAAGGGGGAACTTTAAATGTGGTGTGTGGTTCCAGGGGACCCCCCTCCCCCAACTCCTAGACCTAGAACTTAACATTTAAAGGAATAAAACAAGAATGACCGGAAGAGGGGGTTGCTCGTTGGGGGTTGGGCGCCTGTGCCCTCCCTCTTTTGATCAAAAGAGGAAGCTGCCTGCTCCTACAGCTGGATCTATTAAATTCTTGCCAAACAGCATAGAGAAGAAAAGAATCTAGTGTCTCTTGCTGGTGGAAATTATGCTCTTTCACGGGATTGCAAGGAAAGTATTCCAGGAACCCACACGTGGGAGGTTGTGACAGGATGAGGTATCTTTGGGCTAGAAATAGAAGGTGCCTCCAGATTCCCAGTGTCTCATCTTCATTTTTCCTGTTGTGGAAAAAGCCCACCTTTGTCTTCATCAGGCCCAGAAATAGGGCCAATGTCCAGAGATGCTGTGCCATGACAGAGTTTCGTCCATATCAAAGCTTGTTAGTCCCCCAGGCAGCTGGCACTGCTGTATCCAGTACCCAGGCCTGGCCTGGAGTTGGCTGATGTCCGCGTAGCTCCTGGCCATGTAGCTGCGAGGGGCCACACGGTTGCGGTGGAGAGAAAATGTGTGAACAAGTGGGGCAAGAGCATGTTACAGAGAGAGAGAGAGCGTGCGCGTTTTTGTTAGGCTGATTATCTTCAGCTTGGGAAGGACCAGGTGCTTCTTCAGACTAAGCAATCAACCTTTCAACCTTTCATGGGCTTTTCATCGGTCCGTCCCCTAACCAGTCTATCTCCTAGATCTTCCAGGGTTCTGTGTCCCTCATCCAATCTGATTCTCTCCCCAGGCCACACAGACAGGCCTTTATGGTCACCATCTTGACTTCTGTGCATGTGCTTACCACCCCCTGCTCCTTGCGAGGATCTGAGACCAGAGGCCGGGTGCTTCCCTACGTGGGGAAGGGAGGGGTGTTAATCCCCTTGGTGGGGCAATGCTGTGGTTCCCCTGAGTGCGTGAAGCTGTAGCTTCCTGATTAATAAGCAGGCATGTGCTCCCTAGTTGATTATGGTTAATAATGTCTGACCCCCTTTGCTTCCTTCCTTTATTAATATTCAGCTACCTACACGAACGCTTCCACTCGGTCTCCTGTATGTTTTTACATGACTTTAACCTTTAGGCCAGTGTTGTTTGCTCAGTGTGTTCCACGTCCTGTACTCTTTCACTACCTTAGAGTGATTTGTGATTGTGCAAGAACATTTCGGTTGTGGCCTGACACAAGGTGCACCCCAAGAATTCCATCACAGAGGCTGCACTCGCTGACAGTGTCCATCTGCTGTTTCTGTCACCGATCGTGCATACCAGTGCCACTTCACATTGTGTGACCGGCATGGAAAGATGTGCGGGTGTATCAGACAAGAACTGGCATTCAGAAGCAGGGTCTTGTTCAATTTTGCATGAGATGTTCCCTGTTGACTTGGAAAACTTGCAGTGTTTGAAAGCAGGGGTAGAAAATACAACCCCAGAGATTCTATATATCCAGACTCCTTGGCAGTTGGTGTACTGGGAAGCGGGCTGTGTACTGGGGCGAAGTGAAGCTGTTGCCCTGCCCAGAAGATGTTGGTGGCGTCCAGGCAGCAGGAAGCGTGGCAACATTCCACAGCGATCAGCTGAGGGAAAAACAAAAATCCTAACCCCAGATGGCCTTTCTCCCTCCCAGGAGATAGTATTGCCTTGACCGAGGAGACCTGTACCTTAGTGCCCAGCTCTTGGTCTCATAAACCACAGCAATATGATTGTGTTTCTAGTTCTTACTCTCCTTTGCCATTCGGTTCTCCAGTCTCCTCTTGGATTCCTCAAAATTAAAAAATTAGGCTTTTATACAAGCGGTACATGTTTCAATTTCTTAGAAAGGGTAAGAAGTAGATTATTTGGTGCTGACAGCACAGTAGGAATGTAAATGTTTGAACTCTACCAAGTTTGTGATCCAACAGAAGTGGGCCCAAGCAAGGTAGGACTGACGGCTGGGCCTGGTGACCTCCGTTTCTCTGTTGAATGGGCAGAAAGTACAGCCTTGGGGGCCAGAGGGCTTTATTACTTTGCACACAGTATCCACAGACATGTTATAGAACTCTGAGCCTCAGTTTTTCCCTGTTTTATGGGGATAATAATACCTGCCCCATGGAACTGGACACACAGCCGGTATCACAAATGACGGTCCCCTCCTCCACACTGTGTAAGCGTCAGGTGTAGTGGTCCATTGTGGATGGGTTTATGAATTGTGCCTTCTTCCTCCCTGTTGAAAAGTAGAATATTTGCTTGTCTGTTTTCTTTTATCATGTATCAAGTAGTTACGAAGCTTAAGAAGCGCTTACCACTTTTCTGTATGACTGTGAGGAAGCAGATTATCTGCAATAAATGCCCTGTGTCCATTATTTCCTGGTCAGGCACGTGGCTTTGATAAATGACTTCCTAAGTCCTGAAGGGATTGGGTCTAGTCCTAAAAGAAACCGAACAATTGAATTTTGATGGATGCAGAACAGAGGCCCACAGTATTATCCCAGGAGTTGGAGAGGTTCCTGGCATCTGCTCTGGCCCTGGACAAATTCAGCATCACTATTTCACTGCAGAATGATGGGGGGGTTGGCTTTCCTGGCCATCTTGCCTGCCCATGATATGCTGATCAGTTAAGATAGCAGTATTCCTTCTTTGCATGTTATATTTTTGTTTCTGTGCTTCCAGGGCATGTGAATGGAGCATCCTGGGAAGGTGCGGAGTGGAGGCAGTGATGGCTGCCAGCTCCCTGTTACCGCCTTGTCTACTAGAGTGACATGTACTGTATCTTTCCACTGAAAAGACTTGCTTTTAGCACCTGAGAGTGAGCGGCCTTATAACCTCTGCCCGTAGTTTTCTACCTTAAGTTCTTACTGTGTTCATGAACACACTGGCTTAGAAATCAGTTGGCGGCCGCTGTGGGTCTGGACAGTGCTCACTGCTCCACCTGGAACCCCGCAGGGCTCCGCCTCCTCTCAGTCGGCCTTGGCTTGTGTCCCTTTCCTGTGCTGAGCCGCGGGCAGCTCTTGCCTACATTCGATTGTGCTTGAATTTCGATTCAAAGTTGGCACCGTTATTTTACTTTTTTTTAACCCAGAAATGTGGTGTAAACTTGTAACTTCTGAAAATAGTATCCATCCCAGTTATTCAAAGCAGTTTCATAAGTCACAGAATCCTGTTTCTTGGGATGTTCCTGATTTGGCAAGTTGCAAACCCTAGAGTTATTTTAACATTGCTGAAAAAGAGGTCCTCCTTAGATTTCCTTTTTGAGGATATAGCCCTTCTTTGCTAGACTTCAGGATTTGTGCTTCCTAGAATTCACTGGTGATTTTGGGCAATGAGCTATAGAGAATAACCCAAAGTATATCTTCGTCCTTTTTATAGACAGCACAACTAGTCTTTGGGGGAGGTCCCCACTTTGGTATGTGTATGACAGTTATGATACTTGTGATAAAGACATGAGTCACCTTTTTCTTTCAAAAATAGCTAGAAGGGCGTGCAGTGAAATGTAAAAGCTCTGGGTCTCCATAGTGCTTCTTCCTAGACGTATTCAGTGTAAATAACTTTTGTATATCTTTCTAGGTATCTTTCCACACAATTATAAACATATACATACACACAGCTACACATACACACATACTACACACACAAATAGCACATACATCTATTTTTAATTTTTAAAAGGTTTTATTTATTTTTAGAGAGGGGAAGGAAGGGGAAAAGAGAAGGGGAGAAACATCGATGTGCAAGAGAAACATCATCTGTAACCTTTTGCGTGCCCCCAACTGGGGACCCAGCCTGCAACCCATGTGCTCTGACTGAGAATCAAACCTGCCGCTTTTCAGTTTGCGGGACGACACCCTACTTACTGAGCCACACCAGCAGGGCCGTATCTGCTTTCTAGAAATAAAACTAGAATTTTACCATACATACCATTTTTCATCTTGCTCTTTTCACTTCATGCTATACCAAGGCATCTTGCTGAGTAGGTGCGTGTAGACCTCGTGTTGTGAGTGTTTGCACAGTGTTGCATGTCATCACTGAACCATCATTTCCTTAACGTGATGTCTGTCCGTGAGTGTTTAGGCTGGTACCACTTTTTCACTCTCTCAGTCTTGTAGTGGCTCCCCTTGTACATATCCTACCCAGTGCAGTGGGTGAGTGAATGTTCTCATTAATTGGATTATATCTTCAGAAGATATAATTGGATTATATATTGCTGTGTTTTAAATATTAGTTCATATTTATGGTTGAGTAACTAATGACTAAGTAACAAAAGACTTCCTTAAAAATGTGGAAGAAGTACTTATAGGTGATGGCAGTGTTATGGAAACCAGTTTGAGTTAGGTTACTCTTATTATTTGCTGAGAATTAATTCATGGTAAAATAATGTGTTTTAGAATGTCCAATTTAAACACGAGGGAATTGAAGGGGGTGGCGTTTTAATGAGTTGCCATAGTGGCATGTAAATCACTGGGGCGCGCTTCCAGAGGTGGAACGAAGAAGAATAGTTCTTCCTAAGAGGAGGTGAGAAATGTCGGGGGTGGATTTTTCTTTCTAAAACTGCGTTCATAAGTGATTAAATGAAGACTTTAAAAAAAATCTCTAAAGAACTAGATGCCTGACTAAACCGTAGAAAGGAGGTGGACGTACATGTTTGCACAAAATAGGCTACCCATTTTAATTCCATGAAATGAAAAGCCGTGTCTCTGTTTCTCTTTGTGGGCCCATCCTTATGGGCAGGTGTCTGGTCAGCAGCGTCCATGCAGGAAAAAGCTGTTTCACACGAGGTGGGCTCCGGTGCCACAGCCCAGCTTGCTCCTGAGGGGGCTCCCACTCTGCTACCAACAGTGGCCCAGTGCAGCTGGCCCTTGGCAGCTCCTGCTCCAGGACACGTTTTCTTCTAACTACTGTTATCCTTCACCTTGTAACAATCACCTCCATCCATCCTCACTGGAGCAGAGAACTCAGGTATTTATTCTTCACCAGCGGTTCTCAACCAGGGCAAATTTGTCCCCAGGGGACATCTGGCAGTGTTTGGAGACATTTGGTTGTCACAGCTGTGGATGTGCTCCTGGCACCGAGGAGGCAGAGGCAAGCATGTCACTAAACATCCCACAGTGCACAGAACAGCTCCTCCCTTCCCGTATGTCGATTTCTGGAATGCGTTCTCGGTGTAGCTCCCTCCCGCTTCTCCAGGATTCTGCTTCACAAATTCCAGGCATCTCAAAGTCTGTCTCTGTCCCCTTAGTGAGGAGACAGCTGTCCTCTGCTTGGATTCCCCCCTCTTTCACTGTGGACCAGAAAGTACCTCCAAGTAGATAGCTGGGGCAGTCATAGACATCTTGCTGTTTCCCTTTTCTCAGGGATCAAAATCTTTATACTGCCTGTGTTCAGTATCTGAAAGCAGTTGGTTCATACATTTGTCTGGTTTGCTAGTTGGTCACAGCAGAAGGGTAAGTCTGGCACCAGTTACTTCATCATGGCTAGAGGCTATTTATTATTTACTTGGATTTTTTCCTCTCAGTATTTTTCTGTAGTAAGTAAAGACACGAATCCTGTGCCCATATTATAGATTAGATGTCACAGAGTTGTCAAGAGTGAGAAAGAGACTTGAAATCACAAAGCATATCGGCAGGATGGCAGGAGCCGTGGATCACATAATCTGACCCTTGCCTCATTAAACTACACCCACCTGCAGACAGAAGCGTGCCTGTGTGCACCATGGGAACCGCTGGCAGAGAGCAAGGAAACAAGAAAGAAGACAGAAAAAAACTGGTAAAAAAAAAATGAGGTAGAGAAAAGCTCTGCAGCCGTACATTAGGAGAGAAACTCGGGGTAGCTATAACCCCAAGAGCCACATCAGATATCTGTCGCCTAATAAGAGATCGAACTAATAGCCACTAGTTACTACCTCCTACCACTGTGCTGAGAGCCTTCCATGCATTATCTCATTTAATCTCCTTTCTCCACCTACAGAAGAAACTATTATCCTTATTTTACAGATCAAGAAACTGAGGCCCAGGGAGGCAAAGATATCTCCCCGGAGAAACAGCTGATACGCTGCAGTGTGGAGATTTGCTCTAGATCTGCTCAAAGCTTGTGCTCTTTCATTATGGTTTCCCATCAGGCCTTGCCACTTCCTGACTCATTTTTGTTGACCTGCCTAATACTTTGCAACTCATTCCACTCCTTCAGGGGTACCACTTGTTTTCTTCTGACTTTAAAACCAGTACTGCTCATTGAAGGAGAACTGGGAAATATGGAACATTAGAAGGAGGAAAAATCATCTGTCACCCTTGTCTGTCCTTTCCAGTCCCATACTCAGCCTATGAACTCTAATGCTCACCTTTATGACTGCCTTCATCAAATCCAGGAGGTTCTCCTTGAGTTCCAGGCACCGCGGGAATTACACATTCTGAGCAGTCACACATTCGGGTGTGTGCCTGAAGAACTACTGGATTCCAGTGGATGCACAATGAGGACTTGATAGTCTTTCTAAGTGTATCAGGCATGTGCCAAGTTACGTTTCGCAGCCCTTTCAGCTCTGCGTGCCGTGCTACCCCCATGGGCGCCCGGTAGATGCCCTTTGATTGAATGAAAGACCTTCAGGGATGGCAAGTAAATTCAGTGCATTTATTCATCAAATATTCACTGAGCACCTACTATGCGCCAGGCTCTGTGCTGGCTCCTGGGGTGAAGCATGAGCACGATGCAGTCTCTGCCCTCCTGGCATTTACCATCCAGTGATAGAAAACCCCAGAAGCCGGCCTCTGAAATGTTCCAATTAGAAGACATTCTCCCACAGTGATATGTTCATGAGGCAAACTCATAGTTGTTTGCCATGAGGAGGCTTAAAAAAGAGCAGCTGCGAGAGACCAGGTGAAGTTCCTCAAACGAAGAAGGGGAAATGTTCCTGCGGCTGTTGTCAGAGCACGGCTTCGCCAGCCACCATGCTGTCTCACAGCAGGAGGTTTCATCTCTGTCTCCTTTGCTCTCGTTTTCTTTTCATCTCCGGCTTTGATGTCTAAGCTTTAGCTGGGGCCTTTGATTTTTAGTGTTCTGGAGAAGGAGGCCAGGGACAGCAGAGCCAGCCAGGCCGTGCCTGAGAGCCTGATGTGCTGTTGCCCTAGATCCGGCGCTGACCGGGAGCTCACGGAGGATTTCAGCAGACTGCACAGGGAGCCTGCTGCAAAGGCAGCTCACCTGCAGCCCCATGAAACAAAGTGTCCAGTTCTTTGAAATACGCAGTTTGCTTGGGTATTGAACGTCATGGCAGCAATTTGTAATCCTTTGAAAAATCTTTTACTATCTTAAGTTTTTTCTTCTTTTATTTATTGATTTGAGAGAAAGAAGAACATCAACTTGTTTTTTCACTTATTTATTCATTCATTGGTTGATTCCTGTATGTGCCCTGACCTGGAATCAAACCCATAACCTTGGTTTACCAAGACAACGCTCTAACCAACTGAGCTACCCAGCCAGGACTTTTACTATCCAAGTTTAATCAACTCAGAAAATGAAAAGTTATGGATCCATCAATCACAAATATATTAAATAAGGGGCTTTAAAATTATGTGGAAGTCTTTGACCAACATTTTTTTAACCTCTAAAATATAGTTTGGTAAACACTTTGTTATCACATAGTGGATATTGAGGGATAGTGAGCTTAGTTTTCT